AAAAAAAAAAAACAAATTGGGAGTGATGCAGCTGCAAGCCAAGGAACACCAGGGATCACAGGTGGTCACCAGAATCCAGGAAGAGACAAAAAGATTCTTCCCTAGACCCTGCAAAGAGAGCATAGCTCTGCTGATACCTTGATTTTTGAACTTTTCGTCTCTGGAACTGTGAGGAAAAAATTTCTGCTGTTTTAAGGCACCTAGTTGTTGGTCATTTCTTAAGTCCTAAGAAACTAATACAGAGGTCTTGGTATTGATTATCCTTACCACTCTTCTCATAGAAGAAAAATTTTGCAGTGCTTTAGCCTGCTGTGGTTCAGAGGTCATGAGTTGGGACAAGTGTGCTGTAAACACCACCATCCCAAAAACTTCCAGGATGTGGGGTCCCTGGTTACTTCCCCAGGCTCTCCAAGCGCTCTTGCCACAAAGCAGATTATGTGGGGTCGAGCTCCCAGCCTACAAATGGGGAAGGTCAGTGCATGACCCCATTGCTGATAAGACTACTAAATGCACAATAAATGGTAGGTAGTATTAGCATTTAAAACACCAGTAGAAAGAAAAAGTCCTAAACTGGGTGCAGTGGTGTGCACTTGTAGTCCCAGCTACTTGGGAGGCTAAGGCAGGATTGCTTGAGTGCAGGAGTTCCAAGTCTAGTCTGGCCAACATGGCAAGAGCCTGCTTCTGAAAAAAATTTTTTATTAAAAGTCCCAACCCACTCATCCATCAGGATTCATCATAATCTGAGACCACTTTTGATGTAATTCCAGAAGAAAAGGGTTACACAATGAAGTTATGCTTATCTGATATGCACTGGGATTTAATATTCTTGCTTGTGGTCAGACATATCTAAGTGTTAAATTGCTTAGAATTTGTGATTTCTGTATAAGACATTAAAGAATAGGCATCAGGGACTAGTGAGAATTTGAACAAAATGTATTTATAACACTGTTTTTATTGTTGGAAGCTCAACTTTTATTCTGAGTTAAGCCTCTAGATAAAGTCTTAAGTCTGCCAAACTAGTATTCCCCCACGTTTTCTTTCCCCAACTATCAAGACCATTCTAGGAAGTATGTCACTCTACCAAAAATGACTGAGTTGTGTTGGGCCTGGAGAAAAAGTCGGGCAAAAGGAGCCTTTCTTGTGGCTGCTGATAGTTAGGTTCATCCACCACCGCACTTTGAGCTCGAGTAGAGTCGCCATGGGGTTTCGGCAGAGGAGACAGAAGCTACAGAAACAGTGAAAACTATCTGTAGTGTGGTATGTAGTTAAAAACCCTATTGACCATGGCAGATATGATAAGTGCAGGCCAAACAGCTCCAATTCCACGTCATAAATTATCACACTGTTTGTACTTTTGACAAAACACAGTATAAATCAAGATCAGGGCACAGATCCTGCAGAATTACTGCCCATGAGGTTGTATGGTAAGTACATGGAGAGGCAATAAGAAAGAAACATACCGTCTGTCTTTGTGGCCCCACAGTGCTCACATGTTCCACTTCAGCTGTGCCAATAGGTGGTAGCAGATTATTTCGACTCAGGGGCATTGGTGAGGGAGAGGAGAGCGAGTCGGCTGCCACTGGGCTGCAGATACCACCAACAAACACCAAGGTATGAAAGCATGAAGTTATAACAATACCAGCAAATTGATTAGAAATCAGATAAATGAAGCAGATGAGTTTAATGTGCACAGAAAGCTTTAGGCTGCCTATGTTTTTAAGTAGAGATCTCAGGATTTTTGGAAAATTAGTTTTTAAAATAGTGTTTTCTGATTTTGTTTTGAAGCTCTATACTCTGGGTATACAACAGAAGCTGACCTTTTCTCTCCCACAGAACTGGAATAAAACATTTGTCCTTATCTGGTATTGCACTTCTCTGCTGATTTAGATTTGTAAATTCCCAGCTGATGATGGAATTCTTGACAGTTCTGGACCTTCTGGTTATCCTTCTCCCTAATAACCATAGTTCTCGGGTAAAGTTCCTAAACCTTCATTCCCTTCAGTAGGATCTGGAGCAGCTTGCAGTATTCCTCATCCTTAAGACAGTAATTGAAACTGAATGATAATTTCATGCCCCAGAGGTAATAAAGCAACTTACTTTTCAACTTTGAAAAAAAGTACTGTAAGAAGGAATGAGAGATTAATCATACATCAAGACTACTCATCCCCAAATGAATGAATTTATAGCTCTGTTGGTATAGATATATCTACATCCACATAATAATGCTTAACTTGGAAGCTGAATTGAAAACACTGCTGTGGCCTTATTATTTCATACCTTTGAGGATATTTTTAGAAACTAATCATCCTAAGACATTTTGTGAATCAACAGCTAAAAGAATTATATGTTTAAAATTGGTTCCTAGGTATTTTTTGCATGATGAGGCTCAGAGTGTGTAGTGAATGAAGGGTGGGAAAGGAGATTAATTTTAGTGTCACTTCCTAGGAAGTGGTAAGGGATATTTTTCCTGGTATGTAAGCAACTTCTTATCTGAGGTTTATAAAGTTTTCATTGTCAATGGAATAAACGGATCCCAATGGTGCAGAAAAACCTTAAAGGGGAATTAACTTATTTTGGAGTGAATTTCACTAAATATGTTCCCACCACGGAAAATGTTTGATTAAATAAATAGGTTCTTTATTCCTTTTGTAACCCCAATATAGTATTCTAGCCAACATTTTATTTTTACAAATAGACATAGAACTCTTTAGCTAGATCAACAGAAAGATTCAGTATCTATTTCATTAAAATTTAACCCCTGCTGGGTGCAGTGGCTCACGCCTGTAATCTCGGCACTTTGGGAGACTGAGGCAGGCAGATTGCTTGAGCTCAGGAGTTTGAAACCAGCCTGGTCAACATGACAAGACCCCTGTCTCTACTAATAACACAAAAAATAAACCTGGCATGGTGGCACCACGCGCCTGTGGTCCCGGCTACTTGGCAGGCTGGGGTGGGAGAACCACTTGAGCCCAGAAGTTGAGGCTGCAGTGAGCCATGATCATGCCACTGCACTCCAGCCTGGGCGACAGGAGTGAGACTCTACCTTAAAAAATAAAATAAATTTTAACCCCACTAAAAAATTTTCTATTGGATCTAAACCCATGGGCAATCTGTCATAAGACTACTTAATGATTAGTTTCTAGGCATAGATTTCAGTCTTATGTTTAAATTAACTCTGTATGTAAACTGAAGTAGTTTTACCACGGTTTCCAGAAGTTCTGCTTTTGAAACCTACACTTGGGCTCCTCTGAGGATTTCTTCCATAGGTCTTAGTGTTCCAGCACGTGAATGGCTCGTGCTGATCGGATGAAGGGTTCGTGGCGGTGGATTGCGTCTCCTGGTGGACTGCGCTGTGTATGACAGAGATGATGTACTAAACTCCACAGCTCGATTTGGCCAATTTCGAGTTGAAAGGATGGTACTGGACCCAGGCCTCATAAGTAGCTTGTCATCAAGATCTCTAGTAGCCAAATCAGAAACCCACAATGAAGTAAAGATCACTATGTCAGGAAGACAAGACTCACGGGGTAAAAAGCCTTAGACTAGAAACTACACTTAGGGGGAAATAAAGCAAAAATTAAAACCTTTCAATAAGTAACACTAGTTTCCAGATGGTACTCTAGCTAAGGTGTGAGAATCTATTCATTATTTCAATCATAATTTACTAGAATGGACATTTGGGAAAGCAAGTCCGTTATCCACCTGTCATCACAGTCACTTTTAGTCACCAGTGAAGGCAAGCCTGAAGGACACCTACTACAAAATGCTTCCCAAAAATTGCCACAGGCTGATTCTTACTCTGTCTGAGGCATTCTTTTGTGCTGAAAGATTGTCACCAGAAAGACAACTGAAAGACAGATATTGCTGCTTGGGAGCAGTTGTGGCACCAGTGTGGCTCCCATTGTAGAGACTGAAGTGCTGAGCAAGTTGGAGCTGGCAGGGATTTGAATTCGGGTTCCTTGGAAAGCTGGGAGTGGGCAAAGGGTCTTGTGCTGCCCAGAGCCAGAGCTGTGGGACCACAGTAGCCCCATCTGCATCAATAACTGAACTACAACCCTCTTCTGTAAGTCATCCAATAAATAAAATACCACACCTAAACAGTTCAGTAGCTTAAATACTGGCCTACAGATTCAGGTGTATTTTGTATTTTTTTTTTTTAAAGCAAGTGACTATTTTAAGACATCTAAGAGTATATGCACAATTAAATGGAAGAAAAGTGAATAAAGCAGCTAAGCTCTGCCGTTTGCTCCTACAGCTTTCAGCAAGTTCCTCAACCTTTCAGTCCACTTTGGTGTCCTCTAGTGCAAAACATGGCACCGTGCTTGGAGGACTGTGAAGGGATGCTCCCCATCAAGGAATAGGGCTAAACCTGGAGACTGTTCTGGTCTTCCTGCCTCTGTAGCAATTCACTTATGCCTTCTTTTTTTTTTTTTTAAACACACCCTAACTGCTTTCTAATTACAAAAGGTTTAGGCTTTAGCTGCCCTATGTTCACCTTTATTTTGTTCTATGAACTTCTGGATTTGATTGTCATCTCTAGCTAGGTGACTTTTAGATCAGTCTCCAGATCCGACCTCTTCCACATTTCCAGTGAGATGGCCCATCACTGAAAACACACCCCAAAAGAAACCCATCTTTTCTAACACAGGCTTCTCTCAAGCTTGAAATCTGAGATAACTTTGATTCCTCTATTTCTATAGATTTTCACTTATTTGACGATATCTCCCAAAATAGCTCATTCCTTTCTCACCCTGTGTGGCTGCACAAGTGCAGACCCTTAGTAGCTCGCGTGTGGATTCCTGCATTGACCCCTTACCTTCAGTTCCTTCCACTCCATCCATTTACACTGCTGTGAAATCCATCTTTCAGATTCCTGATTTAAATATATGTGCTCCCAAACCAAAACTCATACATTGTTGGAAGGAGTGTAAAATGGTACAACTCCTTTGGGAAACCATATGGCAGTTTCCTATGAAACTGAACATATACCTGTCCTAGGACCCTTTCATTTCTAGGTATCAACTCAAGAGAAACGAAACTGTAAAACCACAAAAAAGATCTATACAAGAATATTTAGAGTACCTTTATGTGTAATACCTCTAACCTGGAAATGACCTGTGTTAATTAACAGGAGAGCAGGTAGATAAATCGTGTGTATTCTTACAACAGAATACTCCTCAGCAGGGGAGGAGGTCATACATAACATGGATGATCCCAAAAACACGGCACTCAAAACCCTCCACAATCTGGTCCTAACATTCATTATTAGTTCCATAGTTACTTCTTTTCCGCTAACCACACCATGGCCTATTAATTTTAGAAGACTGTCAGCTATCTTTGATCACAAGCATTAAAGTTCTGACCTATCTTCCATTCTTCTATCTCAAAAATAATCTTTCCAAAGTATTTTGTATTTTCTTATCTCCAAACCTTTCCCCATATCATTCCTCCTACCTAGAATTCCCTTGCTGCTCTCCTTTGCTTATCTGAAGCCCCATCTTTCAAGGACAAGTTCAAAACCTACACTTACACCAGAATGCTTTGGGGCTGTCATAGCACTCATTCTGGACAGCACACACATGGCACTCAGTTACAAAAGTGCCACATATGGTTAGGTGTCTTTTTACCCATGTATGTCTTCTCTTTCCAGTTATATTATCAGCCCTCTGATGGTGGAGAACACGTCCCTTGGATGTTTTACTCCACAGGAGTTTTTGTGGTTGCTTGGTCGGCACTCAGTACATGCATACTGATAAACTGATTTTGCTTTCCCTCTATTTCCCTTTTACACTGTGTAGTCTGAAAATGTTGAACTTCTTACAGGAGCTTGTCCATTAGGGAGAGATTTCTTAGCTGTAGAGGCATCCCATGAACCAAGAGAGCATTCACATTTGGCTGATGACTGCTTGCTTGACAGAGACTCATCTACATGTTGAAAGAAGACAATACTCATGATCGGTTGGAGAAGACACCTGTTTGGTTTTCCAACTTTGCCAGAAGTTAATATTTCCAATTTGGTTATTTATACTTTTTCCCCATGCTTTAATTTTTGTAACATCTTGGGGCCCTTAGCTGGGGCCCCAAGTCAACTGTCCATGTGATAGGGTCCCTCCTTTCCTCTCCATTCCTAAATGACAGCAGGTAGGGGAAGCCTGATCAATCTGGATGAAAACAGTAGCCCTCTCATGGGGAGTGAGGACCTTTGTTGTTGTTATTGTTTACATTAAAGTAGAGAAAACTCAGACAAAATATGGAACAATGATAGAAAATAATAAGGGGAAACTCTAACTTAATCTCCTTCATCATCACATAATCCTGCACTCTGCAAACTAGTCCTTCTCTTTCACTACCTGTGGAGCAGGTCAGCCCTCAATGAAAACCTAAATCCTAAAGACTCTGTACTAGGAGGTAAGCTTATCTGTTCTAATTTTAGCAGGATGTAATGTTTCTTTGACTGGCATTGCCCCCCTAGAGCCCTGCTTGTTTTCTCAGGTCATCAGCTCATTGCCTTTTCTGGCAATCTCCGCTGCCACAGAATGTATTTTCCTTCCTCTTTCTCTTCAGAATGTTTGAGTTAACTCTTCTCCTTCCGTAGGTCATCAGTGACCAGAATGTCTAACTATTCAGGGCTTAAGTTACTAAACCACAGCCACAACAGTTCAACATGCAGAAGTGCTTTACTACCACGAAGGGAACATTAATTTACCTGGTTCATCCCTGGTGTGATGACTTACGAGCCTTCCCAATTTTCTCTTCTTTTTTTTTTTTTTTTTTTTGAGACGGAGTCTCGCTCTGTCACCCAGGTTGGAGTGCAGTGGCGTAATCTCGGCTCACTGCTACCTCTGCCTCCCAGGTTCAAGTGATTCTCCTGCCTCAGCCTCCAGAGTAGCTGGCACTACAGGTGCCTGCCACCATGCCCAGCTAATTTTTGTATTTTTAGTATAGATGAGGTTTCACCATATTGGCCAGGCTGGTCTTGAACTCCTGGCCTCAAGTGACCCGCCAACCTTGGCCTAATTTTCTTTTTAAATACCTGTTTTGTAAATCCAGCTGCACAACATCTGGCCAATATACCAACACCTTTCTCTCTCTTTTTTTTTTCCCCCAAAAGTAACACCAGGAAACTGTTGTGTAGGAACTGAGATACATAAATCATTACACAGGGATAAGACCAACCTCATCTGCCTCCTGCAAGAAATACTATCTTTGTGCTTGTTCAGACTCACTTGAAATAGCTTTTCTCTTTGTTTTTGTTTGATGTTTATACCTGGTTTATGAGTACTAAACATCCAAAAGGCAAAAAAGTTAACAGATTTAAATATTAAAAAACAAAAACAGGCTGGGTATGGTGGCTAATCAGGAGGCTGAGGTGGGAAGGTGGCTTGAGCTCAGGAATTTGAGACCAGCCTGGGCAACACAGTGAGACTCCTGTCTCTAAAAAACAAACAGGGACAGGGTGCGGTGGCTCATGCCTTTAATCCCAGCACTTTGGGAAGCTGAGGTAGGCGGATCACATGAGGCCAGGAGTTCGAGACGGGCCTGGCCAACATGGTGAAACTCTGTCTCTACTAAAAATACAGAAATCAGCTGAGTGTGGTGGTGCACATCTGTAATCCCAGGTACTCAGGAGGCTGAGGCATGAGAACTGCTTGAACCTGGGAGGTGGAGGTTGCAGTGAACCGAGATCATGTCACTGCACTCCAGCCTGGGTGACAGAGCAAGACTCTGTCTCAAAAAACTGGGGGGGGGAAAAAAAAAACAGGGTGGGCCAAGTTGATGGAAAAAGGAAGGAAAAACTCAAAAGGAAGGAGACATTCCAAGGACAATGTCAAGGCTGTGAGAATCTCAGATGAGTCATTTTTATCATAAGGGTATCCTCCACTCTTCCCAAAACAGACTTAGGCTGACCACATGGTTGATTCTAGGTTGCACAACTTATGGATGCCTCCTCAGAAGAGCTGACTGAGAAGTATTTATCAACTCTAATTTGCTATTAATATTTTAAACTGAAACTGACCAATGCAAAGAGTCACTGGATTATTATGATAAACACATAACTCTACTAAAACATATTGAGTCAGAAATCATACAAGTAAGGCAAACAACTCTGAGCAAATTTCCTCTGGTGAGAGTAGCCCTGTGGTCTCCAACTGATCCCTCCGAGGCTTACCGGATTTGAGGTAATGGACAGCACCTTAGACTGTGGCACTCGTGGTAACACCAAAGGATGTGGTTCACTCAGCACACATGAACTTTCTGAATCGGGTCTGGTAATTGCAACATCACTCTCATCATCTGGGCAAAGGAACAGAATATATTATCCATGGATAATCTTCTGGCCCACAGCAACAGTATTGTGAAAAAAGATCTCTCCTGAGAATTCATAATCTCAAACAAGGCTTCACTTACCTTTGCAGCCCAATTTTTATACCACCTGCATGGTTCAAAAAACCCCTCCACCCAAGACTAGTTGAAAGTGGTTTCCCAGGCTGATGATGCCTACTGGTACCTGGCGGAAGGAGAAAAAGATCTCTAGGGCACAGTTGTCCCACATACCTTTGGAGTTGATGGAAATGTTTTACAACTGTGCTGTCCAGTGTGGCAGCAGCCACCACCCTCCTGTAGCTATAGAGCATTTAGAATGTGGCTAGGGAGTGAGGAACTGATTAACTTACAGCCAAACGTGGCTGGTGTCTACTCTATTGGACAGCGTAGCTCTAGGGAAACCTTCATTAATCCAGATCTCAATTCCCACAGGTAAAGTTATGAGATTAGAAACCATTGTTAAGAATCACATCCACGCTCTTGGCTTTCGGCTCGGAGGGGGCGAAGGTGCAACTTTCTTCGGTCGTCCCGAATCCGGGTTCATCCGACACCAGCCGCCTCCACCATGCCGCCGAAGTTCGACCCCA